TAGGGTTTAGGGTTCAGGGCCAAAAATGCCACAACACCTCCCAAACCCTCAAAGCTCTCAAGCCGTACCCAGAGAGCCCAAGACCCTGAATGAAGGAAAACGCCTTAAAACCAGAACCATAGGGGCATAAGGCATAAGGCGGCATTTAAGGCATTTAAGGGCATATGGGGAGTTCTCTAAACTATTGTCCCTTTTTTGGGTACCCAATATAGTACGGCACCCTTGTAATAAATAGGACCCCCCAAAGGGACCCTAATTCAGAAAACTACCCATATCAGTGTCCTTAAAAAAAGGTAGGTTAAAGCCCCCTAATCCCTAAACCCTAAAGAACCTACCTTTTTAGGATTCCTTATTATGATATCTTTATAGAAGTCCTTCGGGGGCCCCTTGGCCTGTAGGAACTCGTAGAACGGCTCCCGGGATCTCACGAGGTTTCGACATCCCAACACCTGCCTCTGAGCTGCAACACGGGGTTGAGGGGTCTATGATTTAGGGCTTTGGGGGGGCTTGGTTTAGGGTGTAAGGTTTTAGGTTTGAGGGGTCGATGGTTTGGGGCTTAGGGCTTGGCTAAGGGTTTAGGGGTTGAGGGTCTAGTGTGTGGGGCTTAGGGTCAGGTTTAGGCTTGAGGGTTTAGGGTGCAGGTCTGTTCAAGATAGGCTTCTGGAGTTTAAGTTTAGGGGTCAGGGTTTACTTTGCAGGGTTCTGAAAGGGTAAGTATATGGGTTCCTGAATGGTATAATGAGGATGTGTACAGAAGCCTCAATAGGCTGCACTGCCGTTTGTCAGGTCTCCATGTTACAATATAAACACGTTCTAGCTGTAGAATAATTTCGGCCCCCCCCCCAAGCCTTATCCAAATTGTTGAGGCCCTTCCGTGGGGCTGTAGTTTTAACCCTAAACCCTAAACCCTTTCGTGGGTCTTTAGTTTTGCGATTTTTTGTTAGGCTTTTGGGGCTTTAGGCCTGCGGGGCTTTGCGGGCTTCGGGTGTGGGGTTCATGGTTGGAGCTTCGGGGGTTTGGGCGTTGGGAGGAACCTGATTAAGTTATCAACCTTGGGTAAAAATTAGGGTTCGATAAATAAATAAATGCACAAAAACATAAATAAAGAGAGAGAGAGAGAGAGATATGTATATATACACATACTTTTTTGTGGGTCTTCATATTTTGGGGGTATAGCAACCAGGGTTCCTTAGTCAGGCTCCCAGATCACTGCTAGTGGAAGCTCGTGCTGGAACTCTCGGCGGTTGGACATCTGGTGTCCGCCACCTGAAGCTTCAACGCCAACAAAAAGGGTTTAGGGGTTTTGGGGTTAGGGTTTGGGGTTTGGGGTTTGGGGTTTAGGATTTAGGGTTTAGGGTTTCAACGCAAAAACAAGGGTTTGGGGTTTTTGGTTTAGGGTTTGGGGTTTAGGGTTTAGGGTTTAGGGAAGATCCTTGAAAGCGGACATGCCGTGACTAATGTTGATGGGTTTAGGGTGTAGGGTTTTGCAGCATGCATGCAACGCCTGAAATCCCAAACCCGGCGGTGGCGGCTGTCGCGCTGGAGGCATAAGGTGTAGAAGCCCAAAAGTTGGAAACCCAATAGCCTCAATCCTCAAGAGTAATGTATAGGGAATCCCAGCACTAATTGTCCTTAATCCGGTTTCCAACTTTTTGGTGTAGAAGCCCTAAACCCTGAACCCTGAGGCCGAAAGGCCGACCACACCTTTAAAAATCCTAGACCATGGACCCCGAACGCTAAACCCGAAACCCCAAACCTCGAACCCCGAACCCTAAACCCTAAACCCTAAGTCCCGAACCCTAAACCTTAAATCCTGAACCCTAAACCCTGAACCCTAAACCCCGAACGCCGAACCCTAAACTCCGAACCCCGAACCCTAAACCTCAAAGCCGAATCCCTGATCAAAACTGGCGTTGCAGAACCCTACAGGCCTTGTGCAAGAAGCCTGGTTAAAGGGTTTAGGGCTTCAGGGTTTAGGGTTTAGGTTAAATCTGTGCAAGAAGCCTGGTTAAAGGGTTAAGGGCTTCAGGGTTTAGGGTTTAGGTTAAATTTGTACAAAAAGCTTGGTTAAAGGGTTTAGGGCTTCAGGGTTTAGGGTTTAGGGTTTAGGTTGAAAAATTTGCACAAGAAGCCTGGTTAAAAGGTTAAGGGCTTCAGGGTTTAGGGTTTAGGGTACACCCTGTAGAATCCATTAAACAGTCTCCATAGAAGCCACAGAGGAACATTATCAAGCCTGGGGAGAAGCCTACAACACTCGACACTTGGAGGTTCAAGGGAAGTGGTAAGGGTTTAGGGTTTAGGGTTTAGGATTTAGGGTTTAGGGTTTAGGGTACAAGTCTCTGAATATGGGTTATACTTATACCTACCCTGCTTCTAACCCTAAACCCTAAACCCTAAACCCTAAACCCTAATCCCTAATCCTTATAACTACCCATGAACCGCCAAGTGCACCCCAGATCCGAACCTAAATCCCTAAAAGAACCCCCAAAAGGAACGCTTACAGGAACGCTTAGATGAGGTAAGGAACCCTGAAAGCTACCCATAACTACCCATGAACCCTAGCAAACCCTAAACCCGAAGCCCTAAACCACCTAAACCCCCCAAAAAACCCTAAACCCTATAAACTCTAAGCCCTAAACCCTAAACCCTAAGCCCTAAACCCTAGAAGTAGGAACCCTGATCGTGCAAGGAATACTGGAAGCGCCCCCTCGACTCGGCCGGATGGCTTAGCCGTCGGGTCTAACTTTCAGGTTCGGCTCCGGGGTTCCAGAGAGCCTTAGTTACTAAGGGTTTAGGGTTTAGGGTTCGGGGTTTAGGGTTTAGGGCTTAGAGTTTAGGGTTTAGGTATTTTTTTTTAATGGTTTGGGGTTTACTGTTTAGGGTTTAGGAAGATACCTTACTTACACCATAGTATGAAGGCTCCGATAGTTGAAGGGTGGAGCTTTTTTTGACTGAGGATATTGGGCTCTCTGGATTCGGGCCTTTTACAGTTCATGGAGGGCTGACAGGGGTTTAGGGTTTGGGGCTCAGGTAGTTGTTGAGGGCTTAGGCGAATAGGGTGTAGGGTTCGGCTCGAAGCTTCGGATTCAGCGTGTCAGGGTCTAGGGTTCCAGGTACAGGAATCAGACTGCTGGGCTGCTGCCTGGGACCCTAAACTTTTGGAAAGTCTGCAGCTTTGACTTCTGCAAAACAGGAGCTCTGCTGCATCCATGATGCCGGCGCTGCTTGTTGCCAAGTGCTTTGCCTCAACCCTAAACCCTAAACTCTAACTGTGCCTCAACTTATAAATCAAGAGGAGCCAGGCTTGAGCGTATGTATGCGGCTCGATCGCCACCTTTGGCTCGGTGCCTGCCAGGCTTGATAGTGTAGTCTTTCTCGGCGCCAAGATCGTTCTTCTGAAGCAGCCTCGACAAGTGCATTACTTGTGCAATCTCTGGCTGGGAGTCTCATGTGTTGAGCCGCGTGCAAGTGGTTCTTTGGGTGTGCGAGAAGAAGATTGCGCCTCAGCACGTACCCCTCGCGAGCTCGGGGTCACGATGACGGACATGGTGGGTTCTGCTCGCTGGTTCCCCGGCCCCCCCGTTGAGGGGCCGTGGCGGGGGGTCCCGAACCACCCTTCCAAGGTCGCCATGCTTTAGCCAGGGTTTGGGGATACTTATTCTGAGGCGTCTTTTCTTTTTTTTGCAGCGACCTGACGGGCTCCTCGCGCCGGCGGCGGCTGTCTGCGGGACGAAGTCGGAGAGCTTACGGCTCCGGAGCTCCCTCGCCTCCGGCTTCGGTGCGTTCGCCCTGCTCAACGGCCCGGGCTCACTCAGTTTAGGGTTTGGGGTGTTAGGGTTTAGGGTTCCCTTAGTTAAGGAGTATGCCTGGACCAGTAGTATGAAGGCCGTTATAATTCAAGATTTATTCCTTAGTTAAAAAGTATTGGCTTCGTGGGTTCAGGGCCCAACCTAGGGTTTAGCAGAAAGCATGTGTGGAACGGTTCGGTTCGGTTGCGGTTTTGAAATAGCAGTTCAGGTTCATGCGGTTCGGTTTCTCCGGCGGTTCTTGCAGTTCGGTTCGCGGTTCCTGGCGGTTCCTAAATTACTTTTCATAAACCCTGAACGAAGCATCTGCCCGTACACACATCCCAGATGGCCTTGTCGGCTATTTCTACCACCGCCGCTACTTCTCGTCTACTGCCGAGTCTACTGCTACTTAAGACCACCAGAAATAACTACCACCATTCAAGCCAGCTCCGGCGGGTGGGGCCGGAGGCGGAGTTCAGGGTTTCGCGCTTTTGGGCCTTCAAGTCGGCCGGAATTCTGGTGGGGGGCACAATCACGGCACCCCGCAACAGAGGAAAGCCAGCACCTAGCGGACCTAGCCAGGCCCAGCCATGCCTGCAATCCCGAATGCAGCGAACAGTCACTTGTACAATGTAGATTAGCTTCGTGCCTATGCTGTGGGGACTGGCATGCCCCACCCGCTCAATAACCTGGATGCGACCCAGAAAATGAGAGTTCCAAGGTGCTGTCAGAACTGTAACGGATCCGTGACGGGACATGGCCAGGAAGCAAAGTGCAAACCGCGGATTCGCCGAGGTTCCATGGTGATGCCATACTTTTCCGTGCAATTTGCTCGGACGATCAACATTTTCAACCAGCCTCCTGCGGTATTGGACCCTGTGTCCCACAATTGGCAGGAGCCTCAGTATCACAATGCGTGATCGCGGGCTGGACATGCCAAAACCCCGCACTTGACATTGATCGTATGTCCACAGCTACGCCCTGAAGATCGAAATTGAGGTACGCAGCTTACAACGAGCCCTTTATCGCCGCCAGCGTGACCAACCTCTGCATGCTGATGCAAGCACTCAGCGTCTTCTGGCTCTTGCAGCTTCGAAAAGATTAACAGAGATTTCAGAGCTCCAATAGCCGTGGCCAAATCGCTGTGGGCCTTGGGATCTATGCTTGTCGCGGTATCGGGATCTAAGGCAGGCGATTGGAGCCTCCTGGGCCTTTGCTAAAGCGGGTGAGCTGCTGACACTCCGAGTCCGAGCGCGCTTCTTCGAGGCCCTCCTCCGCCAGGCCCATGGGCCCATATATGGGCCCAGTAATTAGAGCATCCGAGGATATCCGAGGGGTTCCGCCATCTGTGCTTTGGTTTCGGGTCCAGGAGATCTCCTGGCACGACAAGCAGGGCACTGCTCATTTGCTGTGGAAGCTCGGCGCCGACGTTCCGAGCCTGAAGCTTCTCGTGGGCGCAGCACGGACTAAAAAAGTTTAGGCTGTGGTGGCTTGTGGGTTTGAGATGGGTTGGGACCCACTTCACACCCCTTTTCGGTGATCCTTGTGGGGCGATCGCCAGGCCAACATTGCAGCCGCTGCCAACTTTGGATTCACAACAGTCATCGGAGTGGGGGTGGCAATGTACTTCAGCTGGCGTTTTTGCCTCTGCATACTCATATTGATACCACTGCTGGGCATCAGCGCGATTGGTGTCGGACTGAACATGCGCAAGATCGATGGCGACTACTCCAGTGGAGTGGTGTCCGAGGCCGTGAACTGTGTGAAGACTGTGACAGCCTTCGGATTGCAGGGTCGGCTCATGGAAAAGTATGAGACCAAACTCGAAAGCCACATGGAAGACGAACAGCGCATTCGACGCATCTCCGCCCTGGGAACCGGAGTTGCATCCGCGGGTGTTTTCATGATCCTGGCCATGGCAGTTTTTGGCATCAACGTGTTTATCTCCTGGGGCATGATGCAGGTGGACATAGCCACAATTGTGATCATGGTTTTGGTCACCACCGTCAGTGCTTTTGGTGAACTTGCACGCCTTGTCACCGACACCAGCTTGCCTCAAGAGTCGGCTCGCCGGGTCTTCAACATCATCGCGAGGAAGTCCAAGATCGACCCCTTCTCCGACGAGGGCCTCAAGCTGCAGCAAGTGAGTGGCAAGGTAGAGTTCCGCAAGGCAAGGAGCTGCCTGCAGTTGCCTGTGCCTAGATTGCATTCTCAGTTGCTCTTACTTGTAGCTGCATGGCTGATAGGTCCATTTCCGCTACGCAACGCGGCCGAACCTTGCCGTCTTCAACGGGCTGAGCTTCACCATCGAGCCATGTACAACAACTGCACTCGTGGGACCCAGTGGCTGTGGCAAGAGTACGGCTGCTACTTGGCCTCTGAGAGTTGGGATCTGGCGATGGGGAATCTCATCAGTGAGATGCACAAGCACGGCAATGGTGCCCCCAAGCCCCAAGCTGGCCCCAGCCCAAGCCCCTGTGTTGCTTCGGGTTGTTTGGGCTTCCGCGCAGGTTAGTCTGCTGCAGCGCTTCTATGATCCACTCGGCCTGGGCCTTTCAAGAATTGAATGTGCAGGTGGACACCTGTGGCGCATGGATAGAGATTTGTGGAAACGCGTGTCGCACAAATTTGCATTCCGAATTTCTCTGAAGCCGAGATGGATGCATCCTCTTTGATGGCCACGACTTGCGCAACTTGAATTTGGCCTGGCTTCGAGCGCAAATGACCTTTGACCAGTTTCAGCCAGTAGACGTGGACGGTTGAGCCCTAACTTAGCTAGAATGAAGCATGGCGGCCCAGTGTAATCATTGCCATCACATCAAGCAGCTGTGATCGAGGAGCATGGTACAGCAGGAGCCGATCCTTTTTTCGCGCAGCATTTTGGACAACATCCGCTACGGGCAGCAGGATCAGCTTACTTGCGCACATGATGCAACTAGTGTGTTGTTAGATGCACATCGCCACGGCAGGAGGCAACCATGGAGGAGGTCGAGGCTGCCGCGAAGGCTGCCAATGCCACGGACTTCCTGAACACCATGCCCCAGGCAACGTTGCAAGAACTGCATGTTGCAGTGTGTTGCAGTGAGCGCCCGAGCGCCGCGACTTCAGATTCCTCAACCTGTCAGGGCTTCAGCACACAGGCAGGCCATCGTGGCGCACAGTTGAGTGGCGGACAGTGCCTCGTCCGCAACTTCCTTGATCCTGTCGATGCGATCAACAGCTGGAGGCAGTTTGCAGTTTGCAGCTGCACGCATCCGGTACGGTTGGTACGGTAAGCCTCTCTTAGGAAGCAGCGCATCGCAATCGCTCGCGCTTTGCTGCGTGATCCGGCTGCTGCTCGGGCTGCATGCAAAGCTTGACGGGGAAACAAGAGGGAAGGAAGAAGCGAGAGAAGAGACATAGCAAGCGAGCAGAAGCGCGCAAAGCACAAGGCGAAGAGCTTGAAACCCTGAATTTCCTTACTGACTAGTGTGGCGGTTCAGACACTGGGCTGCGGCATGCTGCGGCGACATGTTCACGGCCCAAAGAGATCTCAAGACCAAATAAAGCTGCACTCCGGCTCCGCAGAAGCCGATCTCCAAAACAGTGAAGCTAGCTTCACGTTTTGAGTCTTTTACGGCCGCGCTAACCTCTCCTTGGTTGGTTTGGAAAAGCCTTCCTTCGACTGATATGACAGTCAGGCAGGCAGGAAAGAGTTCCAGTAGCGAAGGGATCTTCGTAGCGTGCTGCTTCAGCCTCGGATCCAGGTCTTGCTGCTCGATGAAGCCACGAGTTCGTTAGATGCCGTCAGCGAGCGCTTGGTGCAGGATGCACTGGACAGGCTCCTTGGCATGAAGGCCTTTGCTTGCGGTTCGTCGGTTCTTTCTGTTCTTTTCTGCCATGTAGCAAGCTCGGCAGCTAAGGCTGGTGAGATCCAAACCACGCACAACCATCATTATCGCGCACAGGCACAACCTAGTTCCGGGCTGCGCTGCGAAACCAGGTTAGCCCAGCCGTTTCTTTGCAGAAGTTGCGATCACAGGTTGTCCACCGTCCGAAGTGCCGACCAGATTTGCGTCTTCAGCCATGGCGAGATTGTAGAAACGGGCAGACATGCCGCTTCCTTGCAACTTATACCCCTTTTTCGTGGGCTGTGCGGCCACCCTGAAGGTAGTAGTTCCTACGAGTGTCAGGAACAGTTGATGGAACTGGATGGCCACTACTCGAAGCTGGTGGCAGCTCAACAGTGGCTGGAATGCAATCATTCGCTTAGTGCAGTAACAGCAGCCGATACACACAAACGGGAAGGGGAGAAGAGAGAGAGTGAGAGAGAGAGAGAGATTGAAAAACAAGATTCCCATGGCGAAGGCACCTGCGTTGCAAAAGTCCAATCATTGAGAGATCGTCTGGTTACATGGCGGGCTGAGCCCCTTCCATGCCACCTAGTGCCATTACCAGCCCGAAGACAGAGCCAGCGGTGTGTTTCGGGAGTCGAGGCGGGGCAAGGCGTTCATGTCGGGTTAAAGGTGTCACAGGCCTCGGCCGTTCGGTTTGACGCCGACCAACGCGCAGGACGCAGGACGTTGAGATCCTCTTCGAAGTGGGGGGCGGGGGGGCCCTACCCCCACTTTAAGTATCGAAGGGGGCCCCAGGTGGGCTGGACCAGCAGAAGAGCGAGAGATTGCCTTGGGGTCTCGACCCCCTGGGTTGAAG